GTCAATAAGTGTATGTCATCAAAATTTACTCGAAGTATGTTATAAAAAGCTACCGTATTCAGACTTTCAAACAAAACCTACAGTTAAGTAGTCAATTGATAAAATATATTTTTTTGACACCGTTACATAGCTAACATAAAAGATTGTATATACTTATTACGTAATGATATTTAAATAGTTTTATTGCGTTTTTCAAGCATGTCATAGTTGCAATTGGTTAATTTAGCTATTCTTTTGAAAGTTATTTCCCTTGAATAAATTTTTTTAAGTATTTTGTTTTCCGAACGTGAGATAATTCGTTGCTTAACTTTATTCATTGCAAATTCCTGCACCTTAGGTTGACCGCTTACACACACACACACACACACACACACACACACACACACACATATATATATATATATATATATATATATATATATATATATATATATATATATATATATATATATATATTATATAACTTTAAGTTATTATTTGCTATTGTAACAATTATATAGCGCAGAAGTTCTAAACAAAATAATTTGGTAGGTTTTTTAGCTTTATAAAGTTGAAAAACAAATACATCAATAGCCGTTGTAGATTGCAATACTTAATGTTAATTAGTAGACAAATGCGTCTAAAATAGTCTCAATCATCTAATTAATTGTCCTTTTCATATTTTTCACCCTCTCCTAAAGGATTCATATATAACAATTGTAGGCTGCAATCTTTAACATTTATAACCTTTTATTTTTCAAAAATAAAAATAAATCGTTACTTAATCACACAATACGGACATTTTACAATTATAACTAAAGACAGTCAAGCTTAAAACAGGTAAGTTCCGTTCTGGAACTCACCTTGGGAGTTCTGCAGAGAGCCCAAAACCACAAAAACTTGTTTTTCCAGTGTTTGTTTTCCAGACTTTTTCTCCCTGGAGGAGGGGGGGGGGGAGCATTTGAACTTTTCTACGGGGGGGGGGGGGGGCTATGTCGGTAAGTACAAAGTAGACTCTTGGACTTTCAATAGAATGTGATTACGCTTGCTGACTGGAATTGAAAGAATTAGTACAAACTTTTGCGACAGGGACAAGTAAAATTTGATTTTGATGTCTACTTATAAAGTGTATGCAATTGATAATAAATTGATATGTCACTTTTAATTGTTTTCTTATGCATGTTTTAGTAATTAATTGGTGTGAAAGGGGGCGTTTTAACAAGTTTTGCCGAGGGCGCCAAATAACCTGTCGCCGGCACTGACAAGATGGCAGGCTGCCAACAATCTCTACCCATCGCCATCCCGCCCTCACACGACAAATCACCCCCCCCCCCACATACACCCACATACACACTCCCTTCCGCGTTCACACCAGGATGAGCTTAGCTATTGTTAAAAAAAAAACAATCGAACTTATATAGGCACAAAGTACAGTGATTTACAAAACGCAATCGCAAAAAATCTTATGTCTGATTATGAAACTTCGCGAGGAATTCGTGAAACGATGTACTTGGTCGAGGTTAATTTAAATCACACGAATGCAGAGGCGTAGCAAAGGAGGGGGGGGGGTACATATGTCCCCGGGCGCCGACCCTAGGGGCGCCAAAATAAGCTAATTTTAGCTGCTATTTTGAATTATAAATATAAAAAATATAGGGGGGGGCGCCAAATTAAAAGTTTGTCCCCGGGCGCCGGGAGGGGTCGCTACGCCTCTGCATGAATGACGTCATCCAGTAGTCGGCTGAACGCTTGGCAATCAAATTCAAAACACATTTAGGCACGCGCTGTGCTGTAGATTAAATCGCCTCTGAGTCAGGCAGGTTCCCTAATTAAAATCAGTCACGAGGCTTTTTAATTATCGATGATCGAAGCTGTTCGGAATTGATTTGAAATCAATATCGGAGACAGGTTGTTCTGTGTTACCACGTGGTTCTGTGTACAATAGAAGGGATGGGGTGGGTGTGACCCTAGGGTTGGAGATTAGTGCAGTGTTTCTTCCAGACTTTTTTCTCCGGGGGGGGGGCACTTAAAATTTTCGGGGGGGGGGGGCGGTAGACTTTCTTCGGGGGGGGGGGCGGATACTGTAAAAAGTATATATATTCTATATAAATTTCATTTCGTTGGGGGAGGGGGGGGGGGCGGTAGACTTTCCGCGCCCCCCCCCCCCCTAGGAGATGCCTGGAAGAAACTCTGGATTAGAGTGTCTAGGGAACAAAACCACTTCAAACCGAGGGGTCATCGTGAGCAGGCAAGGAACAACAGTGCATCTGTTTAAGTGAGTAGGCCTAGTACCACAGTAGATTTACCTTTGTGAGTTCGAGATGGAGGAATTAATGTTCAGCACTATGCCCAGTTATCTTTATTTGCTCCAAACTATCTCGGGTAGTAATTCGAGCTGGATGAAACTCAGGGGACTTCTTCTTACGGACGCAAACATGAGGCTTTTGGTTTGGCAGTTGTGTGCCTTGCCTCACCGTTCCACTAGTAGCTTTTAACACCTTATTTTTAAAAATTATTTAATTAATTTCATTCGATTCTAGCTTATTTCATCTTAAAACATTATCAATACCATAATCGAATATACCCGGACGATCCCGAATAGTCACGCTATTGAACAATCGATCACTACGTTTATAAAAGTAGAAATTAAATGTCCGAATACGATTAAAAGAAGAAAAAATCTGGGTAGAGGGTAATGTCCAAGACTAGCTTACTGTAATAATATATTATTATTTATGAGAGGTGGGGGTGGGTTAAGATGTGAAACATGAGATTAAATCTTGTACCGCAACAACAACAACAAAAAAATCAATAAATAATTTTTTTTTTAAATAATCCGAGAAGTGACGAGATCAATTTTTGTGTGACGCCTTTCGTCGCTTCTTTATTCGTAACATTAGACATTTGTTATAGGCCTAATGAACATGTAGATGGGGGGTGGGGGGGGGGGGGGGGGGTGGGGAGGATCTACCGATTCAAACATGCTTGTTAATACAAGTTATATTTAGTTCATGTGAAATAAACTGCTGACGTACATTTTGTTTTTCTGTTTAATTTGGTACTTGTACTACAATTATGTTAAGATATATTATTAATACGATGAGGATTAATCATGTAAGTTTTCATTTGTCTGATGAGTTTTGTCAAGTGATTTGTATTTCCTTAATTAATGCAATAGTTTATATCCAATCTTGCAATTGAAATTATATATGATGTTGCGTACTTATAGTTAATCAAAAAATTAGTTTTAGTTATATGAATCTAACCCATCGTTAAGAGATGTGCAGTGTAGAATCACGCTGTTGTACGATCTATTGATTGTTTAATGTTGTATAGTCAATGCTGTTTAGAACTACACTTCTATATAGGCGTACACTGTTATATTATATTGTATCTTGTAAAACTACACTGTTATATAAAAACGTTCTTTGTAGAACTACACTGTTATATAATACTGTACTATAACATTGTACAATGTAGACGTAAACAATTGTAGGTTATATTGTCTGTATACAGTTGTACAACTAAACATATTGTAGGACTACACTGTGTTATAATACTGTACCATAATATTGTATCCTACTGGCTGTATAAAGTATTACAACTACTGCTATTTTACTATAAAGTAGTACGGCTACAACTTCTGCAATTGTACAACTACACTGTACCATAAAGTAGTAAACTAATGCTATTGTAGAATTACACTGTTTTAATACTGTGCCGTAATATTGTACCGTGTAGATTTACATTGCTGTAAGCTCTACTGCCTGTATAAAGTAGTACAACTACTGCCTGTATAAAGTAATACAACTACTGCCTGTATAAAGTAGTACAACTACTGCCTGTATAAAGTAGTACAACTACTGCCTGTATAAAGTAGTACAGCTATTACCTGTATAAAGTAGTACAACTACTGCCTGTAGAAAATAATACAACTACTGCCTGTATAAAGTAATACAACTACTGCCTATGTAAATTAATACAACTACTGCCTGTATAAAGTAGTACAACTATTGCCTGTATAAAGTAGTACAACTATTGCCTATGTAAAGTAGTACAACTAATGCCTATGTAAAGTAGTACAACTACTGCCTGTATAAAGTAGTACAACTACTGCCTATATAAAGTAGTTCAACAACTGCCTGTATAAAGTAATACAACTACTGCCTGTATAAAGTAGTACAACTACTGCCTATATAAAGTAGTTCAACAACTGCCTGTATAAAATAATACAACTACTGCCTGTATACAGCAATACAACTAATGCCTACTTAAAGTAGTACAACTACTGCCGCTGTACTGAAGTCCACACTAGGATCTCCTACTCTCACTCAACTACATCATGGTCGCATGTTTGATCTGATAGCAGGCTTTAAGACACGACATTCTTCTTTAGAGGAGAATATATGTGTGTAAGTGGGACGGTGTGTGAGTGGGGGGGGGGGGATAATTAAAGAAAGGGTGGGGAGGGGGAAGGTTAAATGACAAGGTCGACAATATTTTGGGAAATTAAAACAGAAATGGTTAGCAGCGGCTTATAGGGAAACACTTCACATAACCATCAAAGTTAGGTATTGATTGGTTACAGATCTATGTAAGATATTGTTTCAGTTTTGTAAACACTAAACTTGCCCCAGTCTTAAAATCTCTACGCCATCTTTTCCCTCTCCCCATCCGGCTTTGTTAAGCATCACTATACAGCTTAACTTTTTATAAAATTTGACCTCTTGATAAAGTTAACTCGTAAAACCTAACAACTTTATATGCTTTAGGCCTCACTCTATACAGGTTTTTTAAAAATCTATTTTTATTCTTATAATAAAAACACTTAGCCTAGATCGTACATTGTTTTATGAGCCTTAGTTTTCCTTAAGACTCGCAGTTGACAATTGCATTCAGTGTATCTGTCACACTTATTGTGAGCAGGCTAAAACGCCGCTCGCACGCCGGCAGTTCAAGTGACTGAGGCAGTCTATAAATAGACTGACGACGACACTCAAGTAGTGTGTCCGTAAGAATGTGTTGAGCGACGGTGAAATAAAATGTGCTCAAAATGGATTTACATTGTGCGCTGCATAGTTACATAGGATTAACGCAATTATGTATGTATTGTACTAAGCTCGTAGCTTAATATACACATATGTGTATGTGATATATATACATTATTTGTCCCAATATAAAATTATAAATATGTACATATTTACGTATATAAGTATATATTTATATACAGGTCTATATATATATATATATATATATATATATATATATATATATATATATATATATATATATATATATAGTTCTATATATGATATATAATGAGATATACGTGTAGATACAAAAAATTTCTCGCCCCATATATATATATATATATATATATATATATATATATATATATATATATATATATATATATATATATATATATATATATATATATATAGTATATTACGTGTATATGTTAATGTTTATGGGTGTGTATTATGTATTGTTTTTTTTTTACATATGTAGCCTCACTCCAGTGGCGGAACTAGAAAAAATGGGCCACCCCGCAAAAAATTTTTTGGGCCCCCCATATATGTATATATATATATATATATATATATATATATATATATATATATATATATATATATATATATATATATATATATATATATATATATATATATATATATATATATATATATATATATATATATATATATATAAAACAAGGTTCGCTCTCAATTTTTAAAAAAAATTCCATCTGGTACACGAATAAATCAGAGGTTTTCCAACACACGAGCTGGCCCCTTTCAGTTTTCCAAGTGAGAAGCACGGACTTTCTAAATCTAGTCCAACACACCAAACTGAGGCTTTCATCAAAACGTTACTAACCGTGTGCCCTGTTTTCCAGAAGTTGAATTAAATGTTAACAATGTCGGCAGTTCATTTCTTGAATCTTTGGGCGCGGGTTTGTCCACACTACCAACTAGACACGCCAAGGCATGCTGTAAATCCCTCGGCGACGGTCCAGGTGTCAGGGGAGTCACGGGGCTCTTGGAGTTACCGGTTACATTACTGCACGGGTGATGGGTGTGACACATTATTTCTTCCGGCAGAGCTCCCCCCCCCTCCCCTCCCCCGAAAACAGTCTACCCTGGAAGAAACATTGGTGCGACACCTAATTAGATTTAGTCTTATTTAGACTTATTCCTAGTGTTGTGGGAACGACTGTCTGTGGGGGCCAACTTGCTCATATGTGATGCGCTCAGGATGACATTGACGCCGTTTGTATTCAAGTAGTAACCTCATCCGCTTATGCAGGATCACGGGGCGCTAAATCACATATTTCCGTTAGGAGTCCCCACTCCAATAAGTACAAATGTTAGGCCTATGACAGAAACCTTTGCGGGGCTGTACTCAACAGCTTCCCAAGTTTTCATGGCGATTGGGTGAATGATGCAGTAATGCATAATAGAGAGAAAAATGTTTTTCACATGTACAACTGTATGTGGCCAGGTCACGCGTTGGATAACCTTCTGATTTAGGGGAGGGGGGGGGGGGGTTAACAAAAAGCCAGACCCTCACACACCCCCACCTCAATGACTATTAATAATGTTCAATTAATTCTAAACGTTCTAATTAATTTCTAAATAATTATATAAAAAATAATCTTACCTGCCCTGTTTAGTGAATTAGATGTGCCTAATACTATGAAAGTAAATTAATATGTGTTGACTAGATCTAGTGCTGTCTAGTGTCTGACAAAATGTACTGAAGTGGTGAATCGTACGGTTAGGAAGCAGTTCATAAACGATACATTTATCTCCTCGATACTTGTGAGGCTAAGAAAGAGGGATGGGATAGGGGTCGGCTCGGGAAAAAAACTTGAAAGAGACAACAAAACGCCTTGATCTATGTACGTCAGCATCGCCCATTGTAAAACTTACTCAGGGTAGATAATTTGAAGTATAGGCCTTAAAAGTTTACTATGATATTTCTTGTAAAATCAAAAACAAGTAAACGTATATAAAACTGAAGTTTCTAGTATTATATTATTTTTTAAAAATTATTTGTAGGATACAAGATAGTACAGGATACAAATTCAACCACTATCACAAACACATATTAACATTGAAAAATGTACAATGGATTTCGGGTCCCCTACCAATGCCGCAAATAAAAACCGCGCATCATGAAAGCCCACTTCATATGTAGCGGCTTTTCGTGCTATGGACTTTGTTGTTTTTTTAAAAAGAATTTTGCCGGCGACAGCGTGTTTGATTGTAGGGAAATAGAACTCGGCCTTGACGATGGTTAAAAAATACAACTATAAATAACTGTTTTAAATATGTAAAAAATTTGTCGACAATTTTTAACCCCCTTTTTGGTCCCCATCCCCTGCCCCATCCGCCACAGTACAGTTTGGAGGATCGGTCAAACAGTTACGTGTCCTCTATTTCGCTATCAAAGGGAGGGGGGGGGGGCAACGAGTCAAAGAAGTCATTCAAAATTTGAAGAGTTGCCTATATTTTACACTGTAGTTTGTGTAATGGATTTTATCTTTTGCGGAAGACCGTGGTATAGTGACTGTAAAATAAAGATAATCGTACCGCAGCTACAGTGTTTTTCTTTTACAAACCAAATATTAAGGCAAAAATTAAATTCAAAATTTTTAAAAAATATTAATTTTGGTCAGCCGTGGGCCCCTAAACGGCCTGCCCCCCCCTCCCCCCCCCCCTCCCCGCGCGCATTGCGGGGTCTGGCGGGACTGTAGTTCCGCCCCTGTTCATCAGGTAAATGAACAACTACTGACTAGTGTCTTTAACAAAATATGCAGAAGTGGTCAGTTTACAGTTCATAGACGGTTCGTTAATCTATGCATTACATCTTATTGTAAGAGTAACGGTGTGGTGAGGGGTAGAGGTGAGGGGTAGGGGGGAGGGGGGGGGAAGAGAGAGTTGGGAAGGGGACAAGAAAGCGCCGATAAACATCTACATCAATAGTGCCGACTTTTTCCGATCGTCTAGAAGACCAGGATAGTCGCCTCGCCGCAACATTTCCCCAGCCCGATTTCAAAGCGTACCGGCACAGTCAAATTTCAGATGCTTCGTCTTTGAAGTTGTCTATATGTCTGGCGGTCTCTCGAGCTATAGTCTGTGCATTTTTCTCACAGACGTTTGCCGACTATCGTGTTTGTTTGTAACTGTAGAAGAAAGATAATTCGACCTCCACCTAATTTTTTTTTTAAATTTTTAAAAAAATAATTTAGCCAGGATTTTTGGGCCCCCAATTGGTCTGGGCCCCCCCGCATTGCGGGGTCTGGCGGCACTGTAGTTCCGCCCCTGCCTCACTCATGTATATCTATAAATATTACATCACGACTATAATAATATTCATGTCAACATTGCAAATCGGGCACAAGCATGATTTAAACAAAAGATTTTTTTTCTAAACTCCACCGTAACAAATACAACAGGACTGACTTCCTAAAGCTTTCGTTTAATTAAGTCAAGGGTCCACTCCATCCCCCAATCTTTGAGTGTCAGAGCAGGCAAATTGTGCACACATTTAGCACAGGGTTAAAATATTACACCTACACTTGGGGGATACACACATACATACACACAAACACACAACACACACACACATATATACACACACAACACGCACATATACACATGTGTTTATATATTTATATATATATATATATATGTGTGTGTGTGTGTGTATGTGTGTGTGTATGTATTTGTATTTAAATCTAGATAAATGTATAAATAAATGTATATATATATATATATATATATATATATATATATATATATATATATATATATATATATATATATATATATATATATATATATGTTTATATATATATATATATATATATATATATATATATATATATATATATATATATATATATATATATATATATATATATATATATATATATATGTTTATATATATATATATATATATATATATATATATATATATATATATATATATATATATATATATATATATATATATATATATATATAAATCCATCTATACGTATTACGAGGAAATACGTTCTACTGTGTGAAGAGGGTTTGAGAGTTTGTTAAGAGGTTATATAACTTGCATCACCATTAAAGACTGCAATGACTGCACTTTTAAACTTCAAATTAAAATCTGAATCCGAAGTGTTAATAATATACTGTCATCAGCGATATTAGTTACTCAAACCTACCTAGCTATTTAGTTACTCGATAAAACACCTATTCGCAGCCTTCAACCCATTCCTCCAGCCTTTGACCTAACAGCCCCATCCACTCCCCCCCCCCCACCCCCCCCACCTCCACATTATCTAAGGATTATATATTGCAGTATTTCATCGATATTTTCGTTGAGCCAATATTTGCACGAACCGCCGATTCGCTTCTATTTTCACTTTGTTGACTGTTCGCTGCGCGGCGATTCTCCCGAAGAATTCTCGTCTGCTTCCGTTGAACTTTGACGTCTGACAAGATCAAACGCGCGCGAAACGTTGTTAAAATGACGTTTTGTGATATTACTTTGTTACATTTTTTAATTTTGTTAATTATACGTTTTAATAATCAATGAAACAAAAATAAAACGAACTAATGATAATTTTATTAATATATACACTTAATTGCAGTAGTAAAAACTTGGCCTGAATTGCACAAAAATCTGGTAACATTGTTAAGATATCGAACAGTCAATTATTGGCCGGGTAGGTATCTTATCATTGACAGACAATCCATTTTTACACACCATTTTATTATGACTAGTTAAGGAAGTTCATCAAAAATACGATGAGTAAAGTTATATTGAATTACATGTATGCAATTTGAATTGGATTTTACATGCTTTTATTTAACTTGCGTCCTCTGTCGGTGGTGCTTTTGTCGTCATAGATCAAAACGGGCTGGCGAAATTTCGAGCATTTCTAACCAAACAATTTCTCTACAATTCGGCACGAGGTTCAATACCCGATGACAATGCAATTTCACATCGAATTTGACTGACTAATTGGATGACTAATTAATTTTTTATGAATTAATTACATTTCCCCCCCCCCCCGAAATTTTTTTACCGCCCCCCC